TCTTAAATTGAGCCCTGAAAGGTGAGTAAGAGTGAGCTAAGAAAGGAGTCCCCAAGGGGTGCAAAAGGTTAACACACTCAGCTGCTAACTGGACGGCTGGGGGGTCCAGTCCACCCCAAGGTGCCTGGGAAGAAAGGCCTGGTGGTCTGTTTCTGTAAAATCAGTCATTGAACCCTGTGGGGCACAGTCCTACTCTGACACACCTGGGGTCACCATGAGTCAGGGTCGACTCAACAACTGGATTTTCTTTGCCGGGGGTGGTGGGGTTAGCACAGAAAGGGAGCTCTGGTAGTGTAGTGCTTACGGCACTTGACTGCTAACCAGAAGGTTGACAGTTCAAACCCACCAGCCACTCCTCAGAAGGAAGGTTGGGCAATCTACTTGCGTAGTGATACCGCCTTGGAAACCTAAGGAGAGGTCACTATGAGTTGGAGACAACTCAGTGGCACATAACTACACAACAACAACAGCATAGAAAGGTAGGAAGAACAATCCAGGTGGAGAATCCTCAATAAATGATATTGAAACAAATGATTTTCCATGAGGATAAATTAACACTGGATCCCTATCTGGCTCCATGCATAAAAAAAGTAATTCTAATATTTACCACAATTTAAAAATAATTTAAAATTAATTACAGTGCGTTAAAGATTTAAAAGTGAAAAACGGTATCTGTTTCTACAGAACCTTTCCTAATGGCTTTATTTATTTATTTATAAGTAGGTAATTTATTCACATGAGTCAAAACGCAAAAGCAGTATAAGATAATGCAGTGAAAAGTCTCCCTCTCAGTCTGACCTCGTCACCTGACTCTTCTCCTGGGAGGCAGCCAGTGTTAACCTCTTCCTTTTATGCCCTTTCAGAGATATTCAGCAAACACACACACAGATACAATTTAAAAATTATAAATATTTTAGAAGAAAATTTAGGATACTTTTGTGATCTCTGGGAAGGGAAGATTTGTTAAAGAAGACACCAAAAAAGTACAGATTATAAAAGATTGATAATTTTGGCATTAAAATTAAAAACTTGCTTTCATGAAAAGATACCATAAAACAAACTGAAAAGAAAGCTTCTTACTGGGCGATAATATTTGTAACACATATAACTGACAAAAAACATTACTAACTATAATATATAAAGAACTACAAATCAATAAGGAAAAAAAAAAAAAATTCAACAGAAAAATAGGCCCAGGTAATTCACAGAAGAATCCTAAGTGTCGTGTAGATTTATGAAAAGATGCTTCATCCTCACCTGTAACCAGGAGCATGCAAATTAAAACCATAATGAGATATATCACACTCATCAGATTAGCAAAGTGTTGGCAAGTGTATAGAAGATCAGGCTCTCTTATGCCCTGCTGGTTAGAATGGTTGATACGACTGCTTTGAAGAACAGTCTGGCAATAAATGGCAAAGTTGTGCATAACTGTAGGTGGTGGTTCACTGATGTCACATTGTCTCCTAGTGAAATGCTGCCCAATCCCACACCATCCCCATCATCAGTTTCAGCACGAACTATTGTGATCCAAAAGGTTTCCGTTAGCTGATTTTTGGAAGTAGATTGCCAGGCCTTTCTTCCTGGACTTAGTCTGGAAGCTGCACTGAACGCTGTTTGTCGCAGCTACCCACAAGCTTCCCCTGATAGATGGGGTGGTAGCTGCTCATGACGTATGTTGGCTTGGAATTGAACCCTGGTCTCAAGCATTGAAGATGATAATTCTACCACTGACCCACTACGGTGGACAGTGATCTAACTTTTCAGTGACTTCTTACCTCTCTTAGGATAGAAGCTACTTTTTTTTTTAAATAACTTTTTACTGGGATTTGGGTGAAAGTTTACAGAGCAAATTGGTTTTCCATTCAACAATTCATAAAAGCTACTATCTTTACAATGACCCTAAAGTCCTATGCAGTCTGTCCATGAGCTGTTCTCTGACCTCCTTCCTCACTCATTCCACCCCAACCCTATGGGTCCCCTGCTCATCCTGAACCTTCCAAACATGCTCCCACCTCAGGAAATCTGGCCTTGCTGTTCCCTCTGCCCAGAATGCTCTTCTGAGATTCCCTCGACGTCCTTCCTCACCTCCTTCAGGTCTCTCTGCGGCAGTGGCCCTTGCTTTCACCCACTGTACCTCAGGGCTCCAGGTGGCTGATGCGACATGTATACTCCACCCTCACAGACAAGGCCCTCCACAGAAGCAAGCCCACCCGCCAATAGTCATGGCACTCCCCACCCACATGGACACCTACACTGACCCTTGCTCCTGGACTGTGCCACAGAGGAAGGCGTCAGCAGGGTGCCAAGTGTCCCCAACTGTTTCTCCTAAATCCTCAGGCGAGGACAACCTCCAGCTGGAGCTGGGTGCTTCTCGGCAGCCTGCCCCCGGCTGGCAGGCGCCAGCTCCTGGTAGAGGGGCCAGCATGTAATTAGAAACTCCGCAAGCTCCCTAATTGCCAGTTCTTCTCCTCAACTGGGAGGCTGGTGCTATTCTGAACCACCCTTGCTGCCGGCTGCCTGAGGCATTTTGAGAGGAGCAAGCTGAATGCACAGCCAGTCTGGCATGGAGGTGGCCTCAGAGAGGGCCAGCAAGGTCAGAAGGAACTGAGCAGTGGAGAAGGACTGGCCAGCGGCCACCAAACCGAACCCAGACGTGGCACTGACTGCTGTAGCCCCTCCTGGGCAGCCAGCCTCTTTCTTCACAGCATAGTCAGCCAGCCTGCTCCCCGGGTTTGCCCTGTGGCCTCCTCCCGGCCCTCCTTTAGTCCCCTTTCTGCCCACCCTTGCCCAGAACAGTGACATCAGACCAGCCCAGCCCATTCATTCTTTATTCAGTTGATGTAAAAATCACTACAAAAACTACAAAAGAGGGGCCCATCCCTGCCTCAGGCCTGGAGCTACCAGGCAGAGGAAGAAGGTAGGAGAGAGAAAGAAAGAGGGATTCTGGCAGTGTTGGCACTGGTCATTCGATGCCACTGGGAGCCTGGGCTAACAGCTGCAGGCCAGGAGGGTACAGTGTGCCCAGCCTTCAGCAGGTTATGTCAGAGCCAGCTTGTCAGACACCCAGCCTTCATGGACTGGGCAGGACACAGCCTCTTGAGTGGCAGACCTGGCCCACAGCACCTGACCACCGAGACCATGCTTTGTCCCTGGGCCACCACCAGAGCCTGTCTTCCCCTCCACAGTCAGGGTGTTCTGGGACACGTCCAAAGGCAGCCTCTCCCTTCTGTCCCTCCTGTCTTGTAAACAAACATGGAGGTGCCCCAGCTGACTTAGGGAATAACGTAACCTACCTTCCTGACTTAGCTGGACTCACAGCTGCCCTACCACCCAAGCCCCCCCCCCAAAAAAAAATGATACCCTTTGGAAGAAATGATGCAGGATTCCCAGAGGCCTGCCCCTCTCAGCCCTACCCCACCCCCAGATTCCTCAAGAGAAGATGGGAAGGGATGGCTCCTCTCCCCTCCTAGATTGCCCCCCCCCCCGAGACCCTGCCCCCATCCCACAAAGCTGGTTGGAAAGAGTCACATGAATTGAGAGGCTTGTCCAGGCAGGGACCCAGGATACTGGTGGCCACGGCCCCTCACTTGGGGCTGCTGGGTTGGGTGTACTCCTCTGCTGAGGGCGGCCCAAGTTTCAAGTCAAGGCCAAGACCCTTGTCTCCACGGGGGAAGGCTTTCAGGTTCTCGAAGAAGTCCCTGTTGTCAGGGGAATCCTGCTGTTCCTTCCGCTCCTGCTCCACACCAGGGTTGGGGTTCTTCACGCTGCCCACAAAGAGGGGCAGGCCAGTGGTGTCCTCAAAGAGGAAGAAGAGAAAGGGGCGGTTCACGCTGAAGGAGGAGAGGGACATGCGGGACATGGCCGTGCCGGTCACTGCAGCTGCCTCCACACCAGCCTCGCTGAGCTCCAAGGTGGCCTGATGCTGCACACTGGATACCACCAGGCTCTGGTCAGAGATCCCACGCAGGTCTGGGGCCTGGAACAGCTCCTGCAGGCCTGGCAGGGCAGCAGCCAGCCAGTCAGAGCTGCCCTCTGTCCACAGCTGCCGGCCTGGTAGGGAGTCCTGGCCCTGGCCACAGAGCATGTTGAACCCACAGATCCCTGGCTAACTTCCATTTAACCTTCAAGTCTCAGCTTAAACATCCTTGCCTCTAGGAAGCCCTCCCTGAAGTCCAACCGAATATTCATTCACCTGTCTTATCACTTATGCTGAATGGGAAGTGACTGGTTCCTTGTCTGCCCACCCTATTAGACCGAGTTCTTTGCTCCCAGGGCCCAGTACAGCACCTGGCACATAGAAGTTGCTCAGCAAACAGCTGATGGGTGGATGCATCTCCATAACTGTGTGAAATCCCACGTTATCTTTCTCTTCCTTCCAGCAGGCAACCTCAGGCTCTCAGCGGGGGTCTTTTCAATGGTCTTGAGCAGAGCAGGTCCCATTCTCTGGACCACCCCAGTCCACCCCAAGTCAGAGGGTCCAAGGGCTCACATCAAACCCCCTCATCTTCCTAGGCCCCAGAAAAGGCTACCTCTGACACAGACCAACTACCAGCCAGGGGTTCTTCCTCACCCACACTACCCCAGCCTAACCTAGGGGACTAGTCCACCCCTGGCCTCCTTACCCAGCTGCCTGAGGGTGGCCACCAGGTCCAGCTGGTGTTTCAGGTGCAACTTTGGCAGCCGGACATCAGTGGGCCTGTCCCTCAATGAAGGCTGATGCAGAGTGTCCCAGGTCAAGTTGGCCAGTATCTGGGACATGTTCCATTCAAAGCGAGCAGGCACAATGACCACAAAGCTCATGTTGTTCTTAAAGGGGAAGTGAGCCACCTGCAAACAAGGGAAGGAGAAAACATGAGGGTCAGCAAGCACCCAACCCGGGTGGTGTCTGGGAAACACGTGCTTTGGAGACAGATGAATGGGGCTATCAGGTGTGAGCCCTCCCTCACTGAGCCTTCAGCTCCTCATCTGTGAAATGGAGTCACAGCACCTGCCCACCTTCCAGACTGGAGCCTACTAGGGCCTCCCGGGTGGGGACACAGAGGGACATTTCAGAGCTGCCAGCCCTAGGGGCGTGACTGCCCTACAGTGAGGTGCCCCGCCCCCACCCCCTGGCTGCTCCACTCCCCTCCTCACCACCAACACACAGGCAACGCAGGCCGACCTGCATCTCGGGCTGCTCCAGCACGAACCAGCGCAGAGGGTACTTGTGGGCTCGCATCATGTCCACCGGCACTGTGAACTGCTCATCCAGGTGGAACGTGTCTCTCTGGGTGAGGCTCGGGTCAAACTTGCTCCTCCAGAGACCTGCATCCAGGCAGAGGGCAGAGGCCACCAGGGCTGGGACCAGGTTGGGCTCCTCACCACTAGCCTCTTCCCATATCAGTCAGAATGTGGAACAAGGGGTGGAGGCCAGGACCCCCGGGGCTGCAAGCCAGTGGACCCTCGATTGTTCTGAGGTCTCTTCCTGCAGCGTTTCTTATCTGGACTGGTCCTCCCTAGCCCCTTCAATACTCCTAAGAAGCTCACCTGGGTCTGTGCATTCCCAGTTCCGTCCTAGCACACCCACTTCACAACAACCCCACCACCACCCAGTGCCTGGGCTCCCGCCCCACCACACCACACCCTGTCTCCTGCCCTCGCCCAAGCCACGATCCACAGAGCCCTCTCCACTACCCCTCGCTTCATGGCCCAGCCCTGGACAGGGAAAAGAACCCTCAGAACAAGCCTGGCTCAGCCTCTGGGGCCACACAGAGGAAACCAAGGGTGGAGGCTATGGGGGAGGCAGAAGGGAGGGGACTTGAGAAGGGGAAGGCCGCACCCTGGAAGTGGATAGCATTAAGGAGAAGCAGCACTGTGTCTTCAGGCAGCTCCGAGAGGAAGTTCTCTATCTTCCCCTCCGTGGCCTCCTTCACCCACTGGTTGATGTTCGCCAGGTCATCCCCCTGCCTTCCCGTCAGGCTCATGGGCTTTGCGCCAAAGAGCTGTTCTGACTGTTCCAGGAAGTCCTCTTTGATGGGAAATCCTACAAAGAAGAGGCAGCAAGCTATTTCCAGGGCTCAGGCCCCACAACCACCAATGCTAAGAATCTGCTGGGCCGCAGCTACCCAAGACCAAGGCCATCTCCCTCACTGCCCCCCATCCCCGACCAGAGAGCTCCCTGCCCTCGGGGCCTACCTTTCTGCAGATACATTCTGGCAGCCAATCGGAATGCCCCAGGGCCCAGGTCCTGGCAGAGGCGGCTCAGCATATGTGGCAGGCAGGACCCTGAGTCTGCATGCAGCACCTGCTGTAACCTCTGCAGTGTCTGGTTCCGAGCACCTGGAGGGGACAGCACGGGCTGTGGCCCAAGCCAGGGGGTTCCTTCCCGTCCCCACAGCCCCTCCAGGCCTCGTTTGTCTGCAGTCCTCCTTTGATACCCACGATGAGCGTATCCACAGAATCACCAACTCTCCTCCCAATCCCACTGACCTAGGGACAGGACTCATCTCCGCTGTGACAGGCAAGACGATCTCACTCCCACAATTGCCTTCTCTCTCTGGACCTCAGTTTCCCACAGGAGACTACCCAGTCCAATGAGAGACACTGTAGCTAAGAAATTCTTGCATAAAAATCAGCAGGGTAACTTGTGTGAGCAGGCAGACTCCCCAGACCCAATCCCAGGGATTCTGATTCACAGAGACTTGTAGGAGGCCCGGAATCTGCATTTTTAACACCCAAGTGATCCTGATGGAGGAGCCACCCACTGCTAAACTCTGGAGGACTGGGTCCCTGCTGGCCTCCCAGCTCTGCCAACCTGGACAAATGTTCCCATAGTACCTAGTGCCAGGTGAGACAGTGCCAGGGCCACACTCAGGGGCGACAAGATGAGGTTGGGGGTGGTGGACGTTTGGGCCACCAGGGAGAATAGGTCTGTGGTGAAAGCCATCATGGCCTGGGCCAGCCTGCGGGTCTGCTCTGGGGTCGAGGTCCCCTTGCAGTCTCCTGGGACCCTTTTCAAGGCAACCTCTCCACCAGGCTCCTGCAGAGGAAGCCCGTGGGTTAGTGAGGCCAAAGAGTCAGCTCCGGGTTCTGTGTTGAAGGTTTGCCTCAGAGTCCTGGTGCCTGTGGCGGGCAGGACCTTGTCCCAGCCCTGAAGGAAGAGCAAGAGACATGTGATAGACACTGGCATTTTGGGGAATATGTCCCTTCCTTTGGTCCTTCCAACCCTCTCTCTTCTGGCCTCCAAACTCCGGAGCCCAGCCCCTTACTGATTGGCCCTTCTCCCTCTGGTCCCGCCCATTCTTCCCAGCTCCACCTAATTATACCTGGTTGGCCAACTTGAGGAGGTCAAGTGGGTGCAGCCTCTCTTGGGTCTGCTCACTCATGAGCTGCAGAGAGGAAGAAGCAGATGGTGAGTGGCCCTTCCTGAGGGCCCCCCCCACCTTGCACAGGTCACAGGTGAAGACATCCTGGGACTGACTTCCCTCTCACATGCCCTTGACTCCCCAGTACCTGCTGGCCCAAGGGCCCTGTGGCGCTCACAGGAAAGAATTATTGACAAAGGGATGAGGATGGGAGAGGGAGTCCCTATCAGAGCCAGAACCTGCCTCAACTCCATCTCCTTCTTCACCTTCCAGCCCGGCCCATCTCCTCCTCCCCTTCTGCCCCTCTGCCCTTTCCCACACCTGCCTCCCAGCCTCTTCTTCAACTTGACACACCCCTGCCCCACGAGACCCAGGCTTCCTCACCACCAAGCAGGGGCCTTGCAGGCAGGACAAGCTGAGCACCAGGAGGCCCCGGAGCAACGCCATGTTCCTGTGTTGGGGACAGGAAGCCTCAGCTCCCACCTCACGCCTCCACAACCCAGCCATCCAAAGGCAACCCACCATGCTCATGCTCACAGACACAACAAACTCCTGAGCTATGGAGCGCACCCCCAAAACACATTCGTGGTGCTTCTTGGCTCCAAGAGGCTGGGATTTCTCCCAGCACTTTTCTTTTTTCCTGGCTTTTCACATTTCAGCACTGAAAATGTTTTGGTGGATAGAGGGAAAATATTATTGAAACCAAAAAAAGTTCTTATTCACTAAGGCCTCATATTGTAAGTTAGACATGCATCCTGCCAGGGAGACCTGAATACCTCCTTAAGCCTTCTGGACCTCACCTTATCTTGTAAAATAGCAGCAAAAGTCCCTCCCTCCCTCCCCCGTGTATTATGAATACCAATATAAGGCTGTCTTTGTAAACAGTGAGTATAATGGTTGGCACTGTACTCATGGCTGTTTTCAGTCTAGCTCAGGGTCCCCCTTCTGAAGCTCTCCCCCATCCCATAGCCCCCACCCAACCTACTGTCCACGTACCCAGGCTTTCTCACAGGGTGGACAGGCTCACGGTCCTGAAGTCCTCAGACAAAGCAAGGGTGGTGGGGTGTACCCTAGAGCTGCCCTATTGACCAGCACTGAGCCCAATGAATGACTCCTGCTAGAGCCATCCTTGGACTTACAGGAATCACAGGCCCCACCCCGCACCCAGCCCCAGGTCAGCTCCCAGAAGCCAGGCTGCTGAATGGCCCGTGGGACTAGCAGGTCTTAGCCTGGGGGAGGATCAATCAGACCCAGCTGGGGCCCCAGAGCAGGGCTTCCATCAGTCTCAGGGCCAGGCCATCAGGAGGACTCTTTGATCACTCCTGACTCCACCTCCACCACAGGCAAGGTCCTTGGCCAGGGTCCTGAGCTCCAACCTGTTGTTATTTGCCATCAAGTTGGACCCGACTCATAGCGACCCCTCCTTGGTTTTCTGAGGCGGTATCACTACGGAAGTAGATTGCCCAACCTTCCTTCCGAGGAGTGGCTGGTGGGTTTGAACCGCCAACCTAAGCTTTGAGTATTCCTCACAAGAAAAGGCCTTCAGTTCTTCAAGTACCAGATGGTAACACCGAGTTCCCCCCTTCCCGCCTGGTCCACCCACGGAGGCCCAGCCTTGGCTTCATACCACCCCAGGAGGCTGGGAGTCTACAGGCCTCCTGAAACAAATTCAGCCCAGACCTCCCAGCAGGGACTGGGCCCTCATAGCAGGGACCAGCTCCTCTCCTGTTCCAGACAGCAGCCCCCAGCCACCCCTACCCCCACCCCGTACCTCTGAAGGCTCCTTGCTGCTGCGAACACGCGATGTTCCTCTGGCCCCACGCTCTGCCCAGCTCCTGCTGGCCCAGCCTAGCCCTCCCCTCCCACCAGGACCTTTGCTCTGAGCCAACCCCTTTTCAGGTTGCTTTCTCTTCTGGTAAATATTGACAAACACATCCGGTTAAACATTGATATTGGGGCCAGAAGCCCCTTTTGCCCCTTTCCCACCAAGCAGATCCTGGCCGCCCCTGTAGGTTTGGATCCCACCGGGGTCTGGAGAAAGTAGACAATGGAGGAGGCTGGGCCTGGCTCTGTGTCAGGCATTCCCCAGGGCCTGCATGGGCCTTCTTCTAGCCAGGCTCAGAGAGGCTACGTGACCTATCCAAGGCCACAGAGCTTGGGCCCAGAGTCACAGCTATGTTCCTGCTTCTAACGTGTCCCCCCGCCCCCCGCCACAGTCTGCTTGCTTCCCCAGCCCCAGCGGAGAGAAGGGAAAGCTGCAGGAGTCTACACAGAGTCTGGTTGGCTGCCTCCAGCGTGGGGTGGGGACAGGAACGTGCAGAGAGTTGGAACCTGTGAGTCCTACTTCACTGGGAGTAATGCTTCCTGACCCTCACCAAGGGAGGGTTCTGGAGACTAGCCTGGGGCTGAAGGAACCAAAGCCCTGTATCTATCTCATGCTGCCCAAAGAGCAGTAGTCAAGTTGTCGCTCCCCCTTAAGTTTCCCCACTGCCCTGGAAGCTGCTGGGTCTCAACTTTCCCCAACCTGACACCGCCATTCATAACAGCCTCATTCCACTCCATGGCTCTTCCAAAGGATTTATTGTCCTATTTACATCTATTGCAAATAGTGAAGAGGCAGCAGGGACACCTGGGTCTTCCTGTCCCCTGGGAGAGACCTGAGATGAAGAGATGATTCTTCTTGCCCCTTCTCTTGGGGTCTTGAATCCTTCCCCCCAGAGGGGTTCTGGGCCTAGGGGCTGCCTCCTGAACTCAAGGCACAAACACTGTGGGTGGGTGTGGGCAGGCAAGGCTTGGGGTCACACTTGGCTGACACCAGCTGGCCCAGCCCATCTTCCCTCCCCTGATCCTACTCTTTTCCTTCCCCCACTGGTTCCCTACTAGGCAGGGTCTGGCTGGGAGGACACTTACACCCCAGACCAAGGCCCTTGACATCTAGCCCACCGCCAGCCCCACAGAGGCTGGAGTCCAAGCACCAACAGTGCTCTGGACTGGAGCAGCATCCCTGTCCTTGCGGAACAGGGACAGAGAGAGTCCAGCTGGAGCCTGGCTGGGCAGGGCCAGCCTCCCTTCCCCCTCATGGAGTTTTCCAGTCCCCATGTGGCTCCAGAAGTTAAGTCCAGGAGAAGAAAGGGTATTGATGCTCTCCCTCTTGCCTCCTGCTGGTTGGAGCAGCCTCTCTCTAAGCCAAGAATACTTGTGAAATACCTTCTGGCACCCTTAGTGACTCTGGGAGTTCTGGGACCTAGGCACAGCCCGGCTGGAGTTCCCAGCAGGTAGGCCATGTGGGTACACAGGGTATGAGGTCCAAGGCCTACCTGAAGGGAACTGCTGGGGGATCAAGGATGGGGAAAGGACTCCAGGGATGTCTGTCAACCCTGGCCCAGCCAGCCCCCAACCTGGCCTATGCCAGGAGGCGGATAACCCCATTGTCTGAGCCCAGCAGGAGGTGGCGCTTGGTGGGTAGCAAGGCCAGGCTGGTGAGCGTGCCACGGAAATTCTCAGAGCTGAGCTTAGTGGTAGCCTGGGAGGGTGGCTCAAGCAGGGAGTAGATGCCGATCTTGTTGGCCACCGTGCCGGTGACCACTTCGCTGCCGTACAGGTCGAAGGTGTGGATGGGGTCGGATGCCGACCTGTAGTGGTGCGTGGGTTTCTGCTCCAGCTCCTTCCAGACAGTCAGGGAGTGATCGGAGGAGGAGCTGACCAGGACGCTGCCCTCTGCCGCCTGCCCAGGGAGAGGAGAGTCTGAGCGGGCGCTGAGCCCCCGGAGCCCCGCGGGTCCTCCCCTTCCCCCCCACAGCATCTCCCAGGGAAGAACGGCATCCTAGGTGGATGACAGACTGCTGCCTTCCCACATCCTATGAATACTAACTAGTATTAATATACCAAAGTCTAATTAACCTAATCACTATAGTATGAGAATTTACTATGTGCTAGGCATGTAGTATTACACATTTAATGCTCATAACAACATTGTGAGGTAAATGCTATCATTGTCCCCGTTTTATAGAGGGAAAAAACTGAAGCTCAGAGAGGTTAAGAAATTGGCCCAAGGGCACAATGCCAGTAAACAGCAGAGCCAGGAGTAACACCCATACTGACCCAGAGTCCTCCTGGCCCTTTCTTAGAATGTCTGAATATAGAGGCATCTGGAGCCCAGGGCCCTAGGGCCCTGCAGGGAGCCTGGGGCCGTCTGTCCTCAGCAGTGGCAGTTCATGTCCCCTGGCCTCCATCCAGGACTGGGAGGAGAGTACCTGGAGAAATCCTCCCACAAGCAGCCCTGTTCCTTCCCCGTGGCCTGTGATTGAGAATGGGGGTGGGGCAGGACACCCACACCCAGGCCTGCCCCTGCCCCCACCAGGGCAGCCCAGCAGGAGGCATGAACTGTGTTCAGTGGGCTGGGGGCAGTAAACAGCCTCTCAACTGAGCTTTATTTAACCTGAATTGGGTCACGGACAGGGCCCGACCCCTGAACCTCCAAGCAAGACAAATATGGACAAGGGTTACTCATTAGAACATCTCCATGAAGCAGCAGGGTCAGCTCTGCCCCCTTGCTCCCACCCCCATGGCCTGCCTCCTGCCAGCCCCCTGGGTGGCTGGCTCCTGAGTTGGCCCAGGCGGGCCACCCTCCCTGCCTGTCTGTCCTTGGGCAGGTGTCACAAGGGTGAGGGGCTCAAGTGGGGGCTGGAGCCAGGCTGGGCACCGAGGAGGGCAAGGGGACCTGGACCTTCACCTTGATCTGCAGGATGTCCCCCTCATGGGCTGGCCAGCCGCGCAGAACCAGACCCGTGCGGGTGTCCAGGAGCACCATGAAGCCAGAGGAGAAGCCGGCCACAACACTGCGGCCACTGGGGCTGACCGCCAGGGAGCGGACAAGCCCAGGGTTCAGCCCGCCACCCAGGCGGAACTCGTGCTGCAGGCGGAGGGAGACTGAGTGAGGGGCCACTGCTTGCCCCATTCCACTTCCCCCCACAAGTCTACCCCACCACCACGCCCACAAAGCAGGAAGTTGAGCCTCTGTCCCACTACCAAGGGAAGGGGAAAGCCCAGTGTCCTTCCCTTTCCCCCATCACCCCTACATTCCACCACAAGCCAGAATCCCAGGTGCAGGAATTACTGTTGTGGGTGATGAACCTCCAAAGAGAAACACTCAGTATCCCAGGGACAATACCCTGACCGTCTCTCCTCCTGGGTCTCACCTCCCTGCCAGGTACCCCAGTCAGGACTCAGAAAGATGGGTACCCCTGCTAACCTGGAGGCCAGGTTTCCTGCAGTCCACAAAGCGTAGGGTAGAGTCAGAGCTGGCCATGGTGATGCTGGTGTGTGGGGCAGGCATGACAGCTACGGCAGTCAGGGGCACCCGACTGTCCGATGGCTCCACTGTGCGAAGGGGTTTCCCTGAAAGGAAGCAAGCAGCGGATATGGGTTCCCAGCATCAGACAGAAAAG